CAGCCGAACTGCAGTCAGCTGAAGTAGCCTGCAGTGCTGCATTTAACCACTGCACCACCTCGGCTCTAAGGGTCCGGATCTCGACAGGGAGATCATTCCAGAGGGCTGGAGCTGCAACAGAGAAGGCTCTCCCCCGGGAGGTCACCAGCTGACATTGGCTGGCGGATGGAATCCGGAGGAGACCTAACCTGTGAGATCTGATCGGTCTATTTACAACCTGCCCTCGTCCTTAGGATGTGTGCAACCCAATAGTCACGTGATGCAGGTGCTCACATTATGACTAGTTGAGGCATCCTACAATCATTTATAATCTTCCCAGCCAGTTTTTGATGGTCAGTTGGGGAACTGGGATTCACTTAACTGTGTGATTCATTTAATGACTGCAGTAAAAATGATCATGAAATTGGGTCTGGTCACATGATGACTTGCTTAACAATCACATCGCTTAGCAATTGAAAATCTTGTCCCAATTGTCATCGAGGACAAAGTCGAGGATAATAACTTAAGAAGAGAGTTAGATAAATTACGGTGGGAAAGGGGGTCAATGTTATAATGGGAACAATAGAAATATTGTAAATCTTTAAATCCCAGGGCTAAAAGGCAACTGCCTGAGTCTGCATCTTCCTGGAGACCTTTGATTAGTCCTTGGGAAGGGATTGGAAGGTTGGCATGGACAGCCCATTGGATGGATCCATCCATGCCGTTACAGTTGTAGTAACTTCATTTAATGTTGCAATGACTTCATTTAATGAAGAGCCATGGTGGCGCAGTGGTTAGAATGCAGTACTGCAGGCTACTTCTGCTGACTGCGGATTGCCAGAAGTTCGGCAGTTCGATTCTCACCGGCTCAAGGTTGACTTGACCTTCCATCCTGTAAAACGACTTAAAGTGGGCTGTAAGGCCCCGTAAAGTGGTATATAAGTCTAAGTACATTTGCTATTAACCCTCTCAACCTGAAATACTGCACAGACTGGGAGTATGCAGCAACCCATCATACAGCATCTAGAAACCTTGTTGTTTAACCAGTTGTTTGAGTCTTGATGAATTTATAGGCAACTGCTCTCTGTTCTATCCTGTCAAGCACAGCTTCTTTCAGTTGTTGGATGTTCATCTGTGTATCAGTTTTGATGTTATCTAGCCAGCATGTTCTTCGCTTGCCCCTTCTTGTTGAGTTATTGCTATAAAGCGTTTTGGTGGGATTATTTTTTTACAGGGCAGTTCACCATGGCTTTCTTAACCCTCCCCATATATCCAAGCTTGAAGCCGGCATGTGGTTGATGAAGGGTCGAAACATTACTTTTGGTTACTTTTATCTGATTAGATTATTTTAATTTACCGTAAATTCTCTGTGTTGGAAAAAGCCTGGTTAATAATCACAGAAATCAGCATATTTTCTAGTGGTTAGCAGCAGAGTCTGTGTGCAAAATAGCCTAATAAGTGGAAAAATTAACACAGTTACCATATGCCAGAGATTTCAGCTTTGCTTTGCAAGGAATTGTATGCTTTTTTAGTATAAATTGTTGTAGACGCCTTATGAATGTAATTGGTAATTTTGCATAACTCCCGCTGTGTTTCAACTTCCTCTTTATACAGTGAGATAAACTGTGGTTCTGTTGTGGGTTTGTTAGGGGAAGTGTTTCAACACTTCCTCTAACAAGTGTTCAACCTCTACATGAAAACTGTTGATCCATCAGTTTGGAGTCAGAGATCATCTATAGGCTGATGAATACCCAGTTGTACAACTTGATTCTAGGGTCACCAACGATGCTGTCAAAGTCCAGACCCAATGCCTGGAGCTGGTGGCAGGTCTGGATGGGGAGGGACAGACTCAGGCTTAATCCTAAGAAGACCAGATGTCTTCGTTTGTCCTCTAGATCTTCTATATTTCATTATCAACAGAGTAGCATTACTCCATGTGAGACTGATGCACAATCTGAGGGGTTTCCTTGGATCAAAACACAGATGGCAGCTGTGGCCAGGAGGGTCTTTTGTGCGGCTTTATCAAGTGTTTGATAGGTGACTATTCCTGGACTGGGAGGATCTTCAGACCATCACTCATGCCTTGGCTACCTCTTAATTGGGTTACCTTAAGGGCTGCCCTTGAAGACCACTCTGAAGCTACAGCTGAGCCAAAATGCAGTGGGGTGGGCTCTGATGGGTGTGTCACATGACACCATTGTTTCACAAGTACATGATTTCCTAGTTGGCCTCTGGGGTAATTCAAGGTGTGGAATATCATCTAAAAACCCCCACAAGTGTGCACTTTAACTTAGTTACTTGATGGAGCACTTGTTTCCATATGTTTCTGCTTATCGGGTCAGGGTTGGTAGAGCATGTATGCTTTCTGTCCCACCTATCAATCAATGTCATCTGGGAAGCATTTCTTTACAGGGGTGGTTTCTGGTCCCTGAAATGATCTCCCCCTGGATATTCATACCTTTCCCAACCTTCTGACCAGGGGTGAGATTCAGCCAGTTTGGACCAGTTCAGGTGAACTGGATGCTAATTTTGCGTTCGGTTTGCCAAACCAGTTGTTGCAAGAACTGGCTGGCCCCGCCCACCCTGCCCTACCCCTCCCAGGAGTTTCCACGCGGCCCATTCATGCCAGTTAAGTACAGTATCCACACAGATGCTCTGGGAGGGTGAAAAACAGGCCTACCAGAAGTTCTGAAAACGAGTCCATTTGTGGCCTCCGGAGGGTCTCTGGAGCCTGGGGGAGCCGTTTTCGCCCTCCTGGAGGCTCAAAGAATGCCTTTGGAGTCTGGGGATGATGAAAACTCCCCCCCCCCCCGTTGTGAGGAGGCCACGCCCCCCCATGGCCATGTTCCCCCAGCGACCGGGTAGAGAACTGGTTGCTAAAAATTTTCAATCCCACTTTTCCTAGACTGTTTAAGTCCTGGTTGATTTCCCAGGCCCTGTGTTAGAATGAGGATAGACCGTGTTTAGTTGGTTATGGGCTTGATGACTTAAGACAACCAGCTCTGCAACCCATGCGAAAAAGGCAACTTGCTACCATGTTTGGTTCCGAATGATTAGCACGGTGCCCACATAAAAAGTAAACGGGTCACCGCCCCCATTTCTTTCGCTCCCTCCCACCCACCAGCAGATAACACTTCACAGGGCTTGGAACTTACGTTATCGTTTGGATAGAGGACGCGGGAAATGTTCTCCGCCAAGTTTCTGTCCAACACCGCTTGAATGTAATCACCAACATTAACTGCACAGGGAAATTGAAATAAAACATGCATGGCTGTTCAGTATCAGTGGGGGTGGAGAATGGAGAGTTGAAAAAATGAACAATTTTTCCCCTATCTACTTAGCACAGAATTATTTTAGGAATGTTCAGGGCTGCTTCTTCCCAAAATGAGGCGTTTGCTTAACTTCTAAAAGTAAACTTGCTATGTGAACTATCAAGTTTCCGTTCAGCTCTTCAAAAGGAGTCCTGTATCGCAGATCTCCTCAACCTGGTGATCTTGAGTTATGTGGGGACTATGACTTCCAAAACTTTCAGGCATTAGTCATAGAGATTGGAAATTTGAATGTCCAGGCTGGGAAAACCTGCTCTAGTTTCTTTTCAGTCTTCTCTTACCAGAAGTGTTAATCCATCAGAGGAAGAAAATGGAAGGGACTGTCTCTTTCCTCTCTTCCTGAGGCTGAGCTAATAGATTAGTGCAGTGATGGCGAACCTATGGCACATGTGCCACAGGTGGCACACGGAGCCATTTGTCAGCGCACGCAAGGCGCTGCCCTGTTAGCTGGCCAGCGCGCATGCGTGCACTGGCCAGCTGAGTTCAGCCTTTTTTAAGCCATTTTTCGCCCTTCCCAGGCTCCAGAGGCTTTATAGGAGCCTGGGAAGAATGAAAAGAGCCCCCCCAGAGGCCCTCTGGAGGCTTCTGAAGTCCCCGGAGCGCAAAAAAATGGCCCTATGGGTAAACCGGAAGTTCGGGAGCGGACTTCCGGTTTGCTCGGATGTTCGTTTTGACTGCTCCAAAGGCTTCAGGGAAGCCTCCTGAAGGTCCCTGAAGCCTCCAGAGGGCTTCTGGGGGGGGGGG